TTTTTTTTTTTTTTTTTTTTTTTTTTTTTTTTTTTTTTTTTTTTTTTTTTTTATTGTTTTTTTGTAGTGACGTATTTTGACACGTATTGATTTATTTTTGATAACTGTAAAAACACATTGATAAAAAATGTTCATCTATGCATACCCTGTCGTATTAACTATTTTAACAATGAATCATTCATCAGCTGTAAGTAACTTGTTTTGCCAGTACGAATGTCAGATAAATTTTGTAGGTGGACTAGATAAATTATGCAAGTAGAGGACAATTTTATTTTAATGCCCATAGAAGGCACAAAACCTATGGCTTATTTTATTATTCTCAGCAAGTTTTAAAGAGTGCTTTAAAAATATTTCGCTAACGGAAGGTAAGTAATAGAGAAAAAAAAATTCGATGGCAATACTTAATAAACAAATAGGAGGGGAAAAAAATCAAGAAAAATTAACAGAAGATTCAATATCAATCACAAGACTTTGAAGCCAAATATCTTTATCCGTTATTAAATAATACTTTAAAAGAAGAAGTCAGATAAGGTTCTATTGTACTTAAAACATTATTGTCCGTATAATTGATACATATAAAAAAAAATGAAATAAATCAATCAATGAAAAATGTTATCTTAGTCGGGCTTGAGATTATCGAGTTTATCAATGTATTTATCATGTGTTGTTGAAAATTTTCATTATGATGAAATATTGCATGCGTACTAATTACACTCAATTTCACCATACGATTCAACTTAAAGCTATTTTTTAAGAACTTTTTGACGCATTTGATGACAAAGAAAATTTCACTAAAATAAGAAACACCCTTTAAATGTACAAAAGACATTTTCCAGTAGTGTAGATTGATCTAAGAGAGTTATTAAGAAATCTACAAATTCTTTGTCACACTTATTACTTTTTGGTTGGTCACTATAATATTTATATCAAATAAAATAACGAATATTTTTTTCTAGAAACTGTTTTATGAATGAGTCACCGGATAATGACAATGAACGTTTGATGACATAATCAGGCTGATTAAAAAATAAGTTGAGGTAATACAGGAAAGTATCGAGTAAACCACGGCAAAACATTTTGTTGTATATTACGAAAATTTTTTCGAATGTAAAAGTTTGAGGGTCAGTATGATAGCAGCCATCAAGAAAAAATTGCGTTAAATATTATACTTTAAATAATGATTTGTATGTTTTAATAATCCTTGTCGTACTGTCCAATAATAGTGAAAAATTATCTGTTTTACGTATCATTATCACGCACAAGCATCATCAATCTTTGTGTATTTATAAAGATAAGATTTGCTTTGTCTAATTAACAAGCAATTGATAAATGCAGAAAAATACACGTAATTGAAATATACAAAAATTCTCTATTCTCAATAAAATTTGTATTATAAATAAACTTTTTTTTTCATGATTTTGGATGAGAGAAAGTTGTAATTAATCATATAAACACAATACTGCATGATCAGATAAAAATTTTTTTTTTCGATGAGTCTTACGGCCTGTCAATAAATTACTGATAAATTTAA